CGTAGCTGCCACCTGAAGTGCTTTTGGTGGAGTGTTGTCAAATCTGGGGAAACTATAGGTGAGTAGCGATATCACTTTCCTCAAAACGGCCGCTGAACGGCAAGTGACTTGTGTGAATACTGGCGTCTGGGGGGTTGGGACAGATATGAGACATATGCTGGTGGAACATCGAAATATTGAAACATATTGCAGCCCTATAACGTTGACTGCATCCTCGGCAGTTCGAGCGAATCCATTTGCTGAGATAAGTGGGGAGACAGCACACTGCACCTTACGGAGCTTGTTCAGATGTCTGTAAAGAAGCTTGTTGTTAACAAAAAAAACCTTTCTGCTAGGCTCTGCTGGTGAACTAATTTGTCATCGCGTACAAATGTGGTACAGTGATTACGATGCAGTACATTATAGCTCCAAGTTTCAGGGTTAGGTTTCGCCCTATACACATGCCACGCTGCGTCTCTTAACGTCATACGTTTTCGGGTTCTGCTCCTAATGCTTGACGGTGCTCTTGTAGAACGAATAGATCTGTTTACAGATGCGGATTTAATCCGCTTGTTGAACTTGTCAGCAAACATCGTCCATGCATTAGCAATGGAGCAATTGTCTGAAAAATCCCAAATAGCATCCCAAACAAGTTCTGTGAGTGTGTCGTAGTGTGTGATTGTGCGAAACAAGTCACCATGTTCTTGTGGATATTCCGCATAACACACATAATTATAACGTGTTGTTGAGTGATAACTTCGCCCTAGAGGACACTCTATTTCTGGCTTTTCAATCATGAGCTCTTAATTAACGAGCACTAGATCAATCACAGATGGCTTATTTTGCGTTATGTATCTGGTGGACAAACTGACATGGCTGAAGAGCGGAATGGTTGCAATAACCTGTTACAGGTCTGCCTTGAATGGTTCGTTGGACTTAGTCGGAACATCCAAATCGTTCACACTGAAGTCGCCGGAGAGGAGAATATGGCTGTGTCGTTGTCGAAGTACCCTCCCCAATACGAGCGTCAGGCGGAAGTCCATTTCTGGGGTGGATATTAGGGGACGATAAATAACTGCCAAAAGGCAGGTGTCTTGCGCTTTTGTCCCAGACTGCACCAGAGCATGTCCCTGAGTAACGTTTCCGGATCGTCAACCAGTTCGCACTGCAGGTCATTATGGTAGTATAGATTATCTCACCACCCTTGCAGGGGCAATCGCTACGAATGAGGGACATGCCACTTATCTCGAGATCGGCATCGGTGATTTCTGAATGCAGCCAAGTTTCCGTTATGAATATGAAATCCCAGGCCTATGATGTATGACGTAGTTGCGGTTCGGCAAGCTTGCTCAGTAGACCTTGTGCATTAGTGTACATGCAGGCAAGTTTCTCTGTTCTTAGCAATGAGTAGTGGGATGTGTGTTTTGGGTATGGTGTTGTGCCGCCCGGTGAAAGATCGACAGTTAATCGTTTTATTGGGTGCGGTGATGGCGTTTTCATGTGTTAAGTCCAGAGAAACCGCTGTCACATCTATGCGCTTTTCTTTATATGTAGTGTATGGGGTGTATGTGCCAGTTTCATTGGCTGGCTTAATGAAGCTATTCGAATTGCTATCTGGAGGCGGTCCGACTAAGTGTGTGTTTGCTTACGGGAAGCTGCTTTGTTCCGAAGTTAGGAAGAAAAGCTGCTACGGCCTGCGTACCATCTCTCTAACACCATTGATGATATTTGTTTGGATTGTAACACCACTTTCACAATCCTCGAGCTATTTCCTTTGAAATTTGACGACTAGGGTAGCCTCGAACTCAACTGTGTTTTGACATTTTCTAGGGACAGAGTCTCTCGAAAGTATCACCGCTGCTGTTGCTCGTAGGCGGTAGCTTTACGCTCATTATGACCTCAAGCCGCGGGAACATCGTGTACAAGGATGGTCCTAACCACGGGTTCCTTGCGGTGTTCTTCCAAGTCATGCTTCGCCTGTTTGCGCTCGCTCCACGGTATAACCGGTAAGATGCGGATGGAAAATGCCACATTCTGAAGGCGCGGTCTCGATAACAGGATAGCTTGTGCTTCACCAGCGGAAGTCAGTGAAACGTGGAGAGTTCTCGGTTCACCGCAGTGCCTTGCGTTTGGGAGACGCGTGATCCGAGTCAAATTGGCTAGGTTAACCACAACCTCTATGATGTCACATATAGAGTGCTACTGGTTCACATCCCCTAGTTGTTTTCCATTTAAGGAATTTGATCTTGACCCTTGAGCTTTGCTGTCGATTATCGGTGGTGCACTATGCGTAGCTCGGACTGATGTCAGCCGCCCATCTGGTCTGTATACAACCGGTAGAGGCTGTGGAAGTACAACTTTGCCTTCTTCACTCACCTTAGGCCCAGCGAGGGCAACTGAAGACCTAAGTTGCCGGTTGGTTTTAACAGAAATCATGTTCCAACCGCCAACAATGTGGACGTCCTACTGAAGTTTTGGAACAGTTTGGAGGGTGGATGAAGCCCTGACCCTACTTATTCTAATTAGACTGGCGGTGGTTTTTCTTGGGCGTATTTGGGCAGCTGGTGGCGTTGGCTTCAGAAGCCACAGGGAACGCATCTTGGATGCTCTGCCCAGCATTCTTCCTCTGTATTGCAGCGGAGCCTAATGATAAGTTCCGGCGTTTGCTCACTGTCAAACTTTCCCCCAAAATATCAACTTTGGTTTTCTTCTTATCTTCAGTGATTTCCAGCAGTCTTTCGTGTTTTTGCGCTAGTTCATACACAATCTTTACCAGTGGAATACTTACGCATACTTCACATAACCTTAGAGCAGCTGGTTTATTATTATGTATCTTTAGCTGGCTTACTGTGGGCCTTGCACAATTAGAATGAAATTTGGTTCGGCTGTTTCTACATTGAATTCCGGTTCGTGCCTCTTTATTACATTAAAGAAAGCCACCTACTACTATCAACCATCGTGTATAATAAGGGGCGACTGTTGCTTGGTCGTCAAAAACCACTGGGTCACCGATGCCTTTTCGATTAGCAGTGTGGTCGTCTATCAGTCTCTGTATTTTCAAGGTTAACGCGTTCGGTGCGTGCACGGCTGGCAAACTAGGATTGAACGGATAAATGGTTTGCTCGTTAAGCTCTGCGATTTAAATAAATCGAGTAAGCGATGAGAAAACAAACTGTCAGATTGCTAATTCGCTTAGCGGTCGATAGCTGTGGTTCTAGACTCGTCGTGTTGATCGCTGTGTTGGCTTTCGTTTGAGACTAAAAGTTTTGCTTTGTTGGCTAGGGTTCGGAAACTTTCTCGATCCCGTTTCCGCGGGAAGAATGCAAAAACCACGATATTGAAAGTACAGATGATCCGCGCAAGTTAGATCCGAGAGATAGGATGCACTAACCAGCTTTGATAAATCTGGATCAAATGAGTGTAAGCACACGTGTGTGTGATAAGAGGTGTATCAGTAAGTCCGATTGGAGTACGAGATCAGATTTTTTACGTCCGCGCGACCCCAACATTGACCCTTGTGGAACACCGCAGTACACATTAATTGGATCAGAAAAAGGGGCCCCGAACTCTAACATGTATGTGTCGTTGAAGGGATAAATTGCAGATCCAGCCAAGGACAGGGCTCTGAATTGCTTATGCTTGCAGAGTTTTTGAAGTATGCTATGAGCTCGTCAGTCAAAGTTCCTGGTAGAGTCGATAAGGTTTGTTCTGGACCTACCATTGGCTGTTTCGTTCCAACAGCCCTGCGCAACCAGTAAGTTAGAACTACATGACCAATGCTGACAAAATCCGTGTCGCTCCAGCTTTATGATGTTAGACCTTTCTAGATGGCCCATATACGTCTACACTATGACTGACTCCATCTTCGAGAGCAATGAAAAGCTGTGAGATATTTTAGTCACGCATGCTGTCATCATAAGAAACAACCAGAACACCAACTTCAGAGGCAATTACTAGAAGTTTAGTCAGAATACTGTCATCTAACTTGTCAGCAGGCTCACTATCCTTCTCTGTGTGCCAGCCCTAAAACGCCCTACTATTTTAGTTGTATGCGCCCCTTGTCTAGCCATTTACAAAAACCTCTTTCTTCGCACTTAACTGCATAGAATTTGTTGACTGAACGGATAATCTGAAGTGCATTCCCTCCATTTTGCATTTTGAAGTGTACTCCACACTGACTCACAGTAATCCTTGCAACTGCGTGAGCAAACTGACTCTCCTTTCTTCTGAGCATTAACTCTATTAATTTGTTTCCCGCTTTACATGATACTGTCTCATTTCCACAATTCCGCTTCTAATAGGTCGTTGCCTTATCACTTCCTCAACGCACCTATTATTTTATCTCACTGTGTGCCCTTCGAATTTGCAATCTCCTCCACCAAAAAGTTACAAGGCATGTTAAGCCGTTTCTTTGTTACTTTCTTAAACATTGGTTCTATTGTTTCCTTGAACATAATTAGTTTCATTGCTTCTCCTGACTGCTCCTTATCGTCTTTTTTTAGCCCGACCAAAGTTTATCCAACCACACCAATGACCTAGCTGCTGCACTGTTTGGGGGCATTCCTTCATAATTTGATTTTTTGTGCAGCGCATGCGTGCGGCTTTGCAACCGCAATAAAGTTACTTTCTTCACTTACATCTACTGAACGTAGCTGTCTGGTAGCACTATAATGCCATCAGGTTTTCCTTGAGATCGGAACTTCAGATACACCGACGTGCTCGAGCTCTCAAAACGAACCTAGATTTTCTTGCTGTAAGTACTTAAGTAGTATGAGGCAAATTATCAAACGCTGTAGGCACACGCGACTTGTGTGCCTTTTGATTAACGACCTACATATCCACTGGTCGCGTGCTAACAGTAGGTGTATAGTCAAGACACGTTTAATTGGAATTTTTCGTCAGCATCCAGTCACAGGTGTCTTAAGCCATCCCGCGAGCTGACCAATCAGGTTGCACCGTTACTATACAAACAGTGCCCATAAATTCGCAGCTGTATTTGACCGATAAATCGGTTTGAATCTGTCAGACTTCAACATGGTCCGATTCCTCAGCGTATTCGTGTTGATATGCACTTGTTGGCTTTTCTGCCAGGCTGGCACCTACCAATGGATCCCGGTGAGTTACCATTTTTATGCAAGGACTTGAACCTAATCACGTATGACACCGTCGTTTATTAAATCATCAGTGACATATTGGACTAAATTCTCCATAAATTAAAATTCGATCTAACGGTTAACCTTTTCCAGTTTGCAACGGAACATCTTCTCTTCGAACTTGAAACAGCTTATTTTATTTTGTCCCTCGGTGGCTGGCATTGAGATACCCGTATTGTGTAATCGGAAGCTAGAATGAGCTTGCCAGTGTCCTGAGCTTGATAACACATGCTAACTTTGGTTAGGATGAGATCCGCATAGCAATGACTCAAGAATTAAATAAATGGTATGGGTAGAAATTCGTCACATCTAGACTCACTCAGACAGCCAGCACACGCCCGGAAAAGCACTGTGCGCGTTTCATCCTTTCGGGAATCGTCAGGAGTACGCATTCCATCAGACCCTGGTAGGCTCGAATCCGCAACTCAACTGTTGCAATTCCATGGTTAAGAACACTGAGCTACGGGGGACAGCGACGACCGTCGTCAGTGGTCTCAACCACGGACTGGCGACAGTCGAGTTGCGGATTCGAACCCTACCAAGGGTCCGCTGGAATGCGCACTGCTGACGACTCCCGAAAGGATGAAACGCGCACAGTGCTTTTCCGGGCGTGTGCTGGCTGTCTGAGTGAGTCTAGATGTGACGAAGTTTTACCTATACCATTCAGCTCCCCCTACTACTCTTCTGTAATTAAATAAATAAATAAGTCAATTGTATATTTTTCGAGGGTGCGAGGGGATGTTCCCTAGAAGGAACCGATCAAATAACGGTACACTCTTTATATGACACTGCATTAATAATTTTACAGCAATAAACATGGACGCAATTTCAAATTAGGTAACACAGTAATCAGAATCGCTCTGATATTTTTGTCCTGCCGTTGAACCGGGATTATTCACAATCACAGGATAGATGTTTGAGCTGCGATAAAATGAAACGAAATGAAAGGAGCTGTTGACCGAAATGTTAGGTGTATGTGTTTCGAAAATTTATTCAGTCACCATCGATACCGTTTTCGAAAGTGTTATCTGGGGACTGTGATGTTCCGAACATATTAATCACCTTTTGGACGGTTAAGTGCTTACTAATCACAAGTTTAAAATTTCAAATTGTATAGCATTTTCTGATATCACTTGAAAATCTGTTCCAAACCTTTGAGTAGTGGGTCTGAGAGAAAAGTTCTCTGACTCTCGTAGTAAATTTTGGAATCATGCCATTGACCTCCTTGTTACGGATTGGATATCTGCTGTGCAAATATGGGTGAACACCGTCATCAAGACTACGAATTTGGCAGTTTCTGATTCTGTAAAGAAAACGTAGGTTCCGCTTTGTTCTCTGAAACCAATTCTTGAGTCACAAAACGGAAAGATGAGTGTGTTCTTCATTTTCTAAACATACCATCGGAGCATGATACAGAACAACACTTGTTCCCTGTTACTTAAATGAAACGCTGACGTCAGTCCGCTATCAACTGCTTTAGGGAAACGTAAGTAATTCATAAAAACTCGAATTTAAATAGCAGTTAGTAACTATTGCGAGTAGATTATTACTGACCGACCGATTGAGGTTTTCAAACCACAGTCACTAATTGCCTGATAACAATCTTAAGCCTTGTATAAGCGACAGATGACATTTGACGGGGACAAACTAATTGTAGAACACGATGTAGATGGCGATCAAAGTTAAAGTTTTATTGTAATAAATATTAACCAGTTTCATGTGACAGTAACCAGCAATATGCAAAGTACGGTTGCAACACGTGAGACACCATTAACTCTCCGGTGTTGCCAACAGCATTCAGGAATCTTACTTACAGAAACACAAATTTGCTGACGGTTGTAATATACGTTGTGCACTTGAAAAGGTACAAAACTTGACATAAAAATGACAGCAGTTTATTTGTATGCGCAGCCACTTTCGCTATTATTGTTATTTCAAGTACAGCATGGTCCATACGTTTTAACTGCAAGAAACCAATGGGGTTTGGATAAAACACCGCGTTTCTAAACTAAAATTATTAAGGCAAAAAGGATGCTTCCTATGATAATTTGGCAGTTGTATGTGCGCGCTTCTTTTCGTGAAAATGAGTTGTTAAAGCAGAGAGTTAACTTGACCGACAGCACGTCTATTAGTTGCTACTTTCGGAAGGACTGAGCGGTTATTCGAAGCTTTCCCTTATCTGTGCGTACAGTCGGGTTGAATGCAGCTACGCCAAAGCGCATTTTAACTCAGTCCTTAGACAACAGCCAAGAAGCAGTGACTACCCGAACTTGTTAATAATTCCATCGGAAACTTTATGTCTCCTGGAACCAGACCTGTCATCGCATGTCGGAGAGTAGCGGTACGGTGCAAGTTGTACGGCGCCATATCATAATTTGGTAGTTGGTCACGAGAACAGTCAACATCCCCATGATCTATTGATCAACCTCAATACATCTAACATATGTTGTGAGCTCAAGCCCAACAATTGATGGAGGCGCGGCGCAGCATTGAAAAGTAGCAGAAGGAATGAAGAGTCAGTTAACACTGCCCGAAAGTATATTGCCTATTTGATTTGTTGTGGCTGTGAAAAACTGCTTTTAGGACTGAGTAAGCGTGTACCAACTGAATGAATGAATGATGTGTTAGAAGGCGTTTAATAATAATAATAACAATAATAATAATAGTTTATTTTCACGCGATTTGTTTGACGTGGGATGAGGAAGTTGTTGCGAGTATATTTAAACATTTAAACATTTAAATATTCCATCGAATTTCATGATGAATGGTGAAGACACGGAGATTTTAAAGAGGACATTTCCTACTCCGACTAGAGTTGTTAATTGACTAAGGAGCAGTAAACAGAAACCAAATGCTGTTTATCACATCACTACAAATTCCTTTTCGCTGATTGCAAGCCAGCTGAGGCTTCCACAATCGGTCCAGAGTTACTTTCTTAATTCCAGGTGATGGACCACAAAGAAAGGCTCCATTACTGTTCGCTTATGTTGGAAGGAGTCTTATCAGTGCATTAGCCCTAAGATGAAAACGGAATGAGAAGTAATTGGAGAAGTGTTAAAAGCTTACGGAAGGGAGGTTCTGAGTGGTCACAGAATTAAAACATGGGAGTAATTGACGAGATGGACTGATAAGCAGAGCTTACGAAGAACCGAGTGCAGAAGTACATAAAAATATGTAGAGGGGATGCAAATTGAACTCAATAATTATAAACATGGGGCTGGTTTATTAGATTTTAAGTTGTGATCAGTGAAAATTTCGTGCAGTTTCCTTCTAGGTTAACAAGCTTAGGTAGAAAAGTGCGACCACAGGAATGTCCTGAAACAAGTTCAATACATTTAGAAAAGATATTCGGTCTCAGTGTAGGCCTATCAAGAATGAGACAAAATAAGTGGTGTGGGTCAGCATTATAGAACGAAAGGGAGGAAGTCACGGGAACTGAAATAGAGATTTGGATAAAACTGTTGAGAATGAATGAGGCGCACATGCCATACAGTTTCTACTACCAGGTGGACAGGACACCATCAGTTTAAAAATCGGAATATTTGTGAAATGTAAGTTAGGCATTCATCAACGGAGAATCGAAGATAATCTATCAGCAAAGGTCGTTGCACAATGAACCATGACTATACATAGGTTGAGGAACACTGCTTTACAAGTCCTGTTAAGCGGTATGGTGGGGTTTTCGAAATAAGGTTAATAAAACGGCCTTACCCAATCCGAAGACGTCATTTATCTATTCTGGAAATTTCTTTGGCCCTTCGGCAATTTGATGATCAGACAGAACACAATCACGAATACGACAGCATATCTACAAACACAAACAACAGCCCTATATATACATACCTTCAGGCATTTTTAAATATATTCATGCGACACAAATTCTCTGTTACCGGTAAACTTGTGACATTTTTGTACATTCACCGGTTATTGTCGTTGACTTACTATTATCAGGCCTACGAACGTGAGCCTTGGGTTGTAAAGAATCTACTATTCGTTTATTTATTTATCCATTATTAGTACTCTAAGTATGCAGAGAATAACTTAGCGATCGCAATGTCGTGGCTAGCCACTCCGTGTAGTTTTAGAGCACCAGCTGATGACAGTCATATGTGGTGAAGTAAACAAGAGAGGAAAAACTGAAGAAATTCGTTTGTCCATCGCCAGATGTACATGTAAATCTCATGTACCAGAGGCAAATGGCACCATTAGCACAGAAAGCAGGTGGAGTTCAGAAGTGATCGATAAGCAGTGCCGAATTACAGTACGTCAAGATCAGTGAGGGTTGAGTTAGGACAAAGCAAATTAAGGAAGGAAGGAGCAGCATTGCAGTAGGCGTAATCGTTAACAAACAAATGGTTCATCTAAATATGCTTCTTAAACTATGGCGGTTTCGAGTAACCACGTACTCTTACACCATACAGAGAAGGTATTTTTGTGTTACCACAGAGAATTCTGTTTGCCTCTGGATTCAATGAAGGATCTGGTAAAGTGATTCATTGAGATACGCGTAGCTGCCTGACAGTTTCATTTGTCAGACGGGTGAGACTGAGACGGACACCACGCAAGGGTTAAGCACTTGAAATAACTGCTATTTTGCACCTGAATTATATAGTGACATGAAATACTAAGCTGTTGCGTAGCTTTAGTTGTTCTAGATTCCAAACGGCAGGTTTGTGACCAAAAGTTACGAACGCAGCCGTCCTTTAACGATAAATTTTGTCAACATTATGGTCAAACTTATGGACTAGGGGCAAGCACCCATTCAAAGCTTATTGCTTCAAAGCTTAAAAAGGTGTAGAAGCGTGTATGCCGATCTGCGTGCATACACGTCGTCATTTATCTCAATCTAGTTCAGTGTTGTTTTATACAAGCTACCGTATTTAAAGGATTAACTGATCCTTTTAATCTACATGCCCTAGGCTCTTCCTTCTACTGACAGTCGCTTGTAAGATAATTGCTTTG